TGTGTGTGTGTGTGTGTTGCAGGCCGTGGCGGAGAGAGTTTGAAACTGATCACCAGGACCACAGGGGCCAAAGTGGCTTGTTCCAAAGAAAAGACACATGGTCCCGTGGCAAAGGGCAACGTGACAATCACAGGGACCAGACAGGAGGTGAAACAGGCCAAGGTAAGGAGTCTTCACTCATGGGGATTTTCCATCAGTCCTCTTATTTAAGCATGCTGTTGAGAATAAGTGTAACTTCACCTGTGTGATCTGTTTGCAGGAGCTGATCCTAGAAAAAGTCAGAGAGGACATGATGGTGAGGACGAAGATCTCACAGTCTTCTGCTCTGCGACAGAAACGCGGCCCCACCGCTGTGAACCACAGGGTGGACAGTGCAGGCACTGAAGCACCAGTGGGGCTGAACAACAACGGGCTCTGCTCCCAGACAGAAAAAAATGGCCTCATCCACACCAACGGGGGCACAGAAGAACCAGAAGATGTTTCAGACAAGACGGAGGAGCTGAAAATCACCAACACAGACAAGGAGGAGGAGGAAGAGAGTGTCTCCACAGACTCACTGTCCGAAATATCCAAGTTTGAAAGTGAGTTCAGTGTCTCTATAATCGAGAATCCACACTGCCTCACTATGATCTGTCCTTGAACACATCATACAAAGATTATATTTAATTTTTCTCTGTGGTGTTGTCCAGTCCCCAGCCCAGACCTGAGCTTCCAGCCTGATGAACATCTAGAGGTTTATGTTTCTGCTTACGAGAACCCGAACCACTTCTGGATCCAGATCCTGGGGGTCCGCTCACTGCAGCTGGACAAACTGACAGAGGAGATGAACCGCTTCTACAACAGTGGCAACCCGACTGTGAGGACAACACTCGTCTTTATTTTTGTGTTGAAATGTGACAGTGGCTAACTGAAAAACTGATTTTTAAACTGTAACAGATGAATGGTGTTCTTAAAACCATGGGCACTACAGTCGACCCGACTCCATTCACAAAACCATTTTACCCAGCTGATAATTGTAACTTCAAACTGGACAGAAACAAAACTGTCTTTGTTAGTCTTTCCACAGTCTTCCAACAATCACCAACCATGGTTTGGTCGGAATGACCCCTTCATCAACTGACTTAGATTAGAAAATAGCCACGAGATGCACTATAATAGCTGCCGCTAACGTTAGCCAATCCTTAAGGACAAATGCGTCTGAATTACAGAACGTCAACTAAAAAGCAGAGTCAGATTGTGTCTCACAACATAATGAAAAGTCCCTACAGACATAGACCTTTTGTTTAACCAGAAACAGCTGTAATGTCACTATCACTCGCCACCAGACTCCATGGACAAAAAAGAAAATTTTACTTTGCATATCAACACATCAATCAATTCATTCAAAGTGGACAGCAACAAAATAAAACTCTGATAGTCTTTCCACTGTTCCAACAATCCTTAATTCACTTACAGAGATGATAAAGACAGCTGTGTCCTCCTTTCAGAGACTTCATTTTATAGGATATCATTCTCTCTTCGGTGTCAGCCTTTGAACCTACAGTTGTCTTAAGTTTTGTCTGTACAATGTCGGAGTTTAAAAAAACACAACAAATGACATAACTCCCCCATATTCTCTGTTTTCCAGGAGCAGAGGGTGGAGACCATCGTGGTAGGGGACATTGTGGCTGCTCCATACCGAGACCACGGTACATGGAACAGGGCCAGGGTGCTGGGAGTGCTGAGCTCTGGACTGGTGGACCTTTACTACGTTGATTTTGGGGACAACGGGGAGCTGCCCAGGGACAGTCTCTGCCGTATGAGGTAAGACAGAACATTTTAGAGGGGCCACCTACTGGCCTCCATGTGATATTTGCTGCGGTTGGGTCTTACAATGTAGAAGTGAGTGGTTTTTCACGTCACAGACACCCACAGTAGATGCACATTAGACCACAGAGCCCCAATTTGAAAGGTCTTAAGGAATCCCCTTTGAGTAATTATTTTATTTATTTTTAGTTTGGAAGAAAGTCTTCATCATTAAACAAGTTTATCAATTTATCAGACAAAATGATCGATTCCTTACCTTGTTCCAACTTACAACCAAATGTAAAGTATAGATCTATACAATGGTTAAAGACATCAGATCTATCAGGTGCTATTAGTCGATATTGTATCGATTATTTTCAGATTTCTATGCAAAATTGGTGTGTTCTTAGCAGATACCATGAAATTTTTCTAAAAATTGATTTAAAAAAAAAGAAATTGCGATATTGCCTTGCTCACAGTATCTCAATTCATTGAATCGTAACCCCTGTGTCGTGACACGTGGCGTATTGCCAGATTCTTGCCAATACCAAGTCCTAATATTCTATTCCTCTTTCTGCTGAGGACCCCTTACAACTCGCTCTAGTCTAGTGCAGACTATGATTTGTCTGTATCAGTCACACACACAAGGCCAAATTAAAGTAGCGTTGTGCGCAGCCACTAATTCTATCATTAATGGAATAGGAGTCACGCAATGAGCATTATAGGAAATGAAAAGCAGATGGAGTTCATTTTTTAGTTTTATTAGTTTTTTCAGTTATAGATAACTGTTGCTTTTCAAGATATGCGTATGGTGAACCTGAGAAACACATCACTATCATTGATCCTGTCTTGGATTTCTCCTAGTGTAATAATCTTGTAATCAATATACATATATCAGTATAACTGAGATCAGTCTGGGACACAAAATCTTTAGTGGTTTGTGCATCACAGCAATTCTTCAAAGTCATGTGGTCTAACTCGGCTTAACTCGGCCCCTGAAGTGGTCGTAGAAGATCTCTGTGACTGGTGCATGTGCTTCTCTCTAGCCCTCATACAACTGTGTATTTGTGTTCCAGTGTCGGTAGCAGTCTTCATTTTCGCCCAGTTTAGTCACAAAGATTCATTACATTTTACTTTCAGTTTGGATATTTTCTCTCTGTAAAATAATTCAGCTAGGCTAATACAGGTATCAGAAATTGGAATCAAGGTGACAGTATCAAGTGCTGAGAAGTCGTAAAGCAGCATTTCCCTCTCTTAGTTAACACTTTTACTTGTGTAATAGTGATGCGGGCGCGTTCAGGCCGACTAGAGAATATCACGGGTTTGGGCGAGTCAAGTAACAAAGCCACATTCAGAGTAAGTTGTTAAAGGTGCAGTGTGTATCATTTAGGAGGATCTATTGTCAGAAATAGAATATAATATTTATTGGATGTTTTCATTAGTGTATAATCACCTGAAAATAGAAGAAGTGTTTTTGTTACCGTTTATATCTACAGAGGGAGCGTGTCGCCTTCCGTTGAACCCCCATGTTTCTACAGGAGCCCAGAACGGACAAACCAAACCCTGGCTATAGATAGGGCCTTTTTACTTTTTCCACACGTTCTGTAACCACCGCAGAGTGTGTGCGTTATGATCTGAAACTACACCACTAGATGCCACCAAATCCTGCACACTGGACCTTTTAATAACTTTTGCGTGCAGTAGTCCACCTTCTCTTCCCCTCTCTCTGTCACTTTCTCGCTCAAGCACAGCATCTTGTCATCTTGTTCATTTTTAGCTTGTCCCACCTTTTGTCATTGAAAAACATTTTTCATCATTGTTTTTGTTAATAAAATGAACACTGGTGTGTTCACCCTTGAGCTGTAATGCAGTCAGGGTTCTCACGCGTCAGGGTTAGCCTGTTAGCCTGTTATTGATGATCACATATACACTTGTTGTTGTGGTTGATAACTGTCAATTGTACATGCAACAAACACTTTCCCATCGTTCTACCTCTTCTTTTAGGCTAATAGGTGAGAAGATTAATTTTCTGTAAAAGAAACGTATTTAATTTATTATTGTTTCTGACTAAATGTTAAAGGTTAGAGAAAAACTGTCCATTAGCCGTAGACTGCAGGTCCACTCCGCTGAGGTCGCAGTGGAAAAAAATCAGCTGTGGTGAGAAGAGCCAAGTGCAGCACAAAAGCTGACCACCATTATGGGCAAATGCTGTCCTGTATTGTCAAGGGAAAAGGAAAATAATTCCCAAAAAGAGTGGGAACCCTGGGAGTGCATATGCAGCATTGTATGTGGCATCAGTTACAAAATGGCACACTAAGTTATTAACAGCTTTTGCTTTTGCTGCATTAATATTTCAGGAGCGACTTCCTCAGCTTGCCATTCCAAGCTATTGAGTGCAACTTAGCAGGAGTGAGACCAAAAGGTAAAGCTCTTATCTTTATAACTTTATCACAGGCATGGAACCTAGAAAAATCTTGGGCATTATTCTGAAACCTGAAAACTTTTTTGATTTTGTCCTTTTCTCCTCTAACTCAATGTTTATGTTCTCTAAAGGAGAGGCGTGGAGCGAGGCAGCCCTGGATGAGTTTGAGCGGCTGACGTACTGTGCCTCCTGGAGACCCCTGCAGGCCAAACTCTGCAGCTACTCTCACTCTGAGGTCTCCTCCTGGCCCAGCGTCAAGCTTTATGACAACAGCGAGGGCAAGGTCGGCCAGCAGTTTATTTCTGATTTATCTGTGTTTATCTGTGTGGTTTGTTTCTCATCCTGTTTCCTTGTACTCCTCTTGCTGTCTGTCTCAGACTGTAGACATCGGTGAGGACCTCGTGCGACTGGGCCACGCTGTCAGCTTCCAGGAAGTGGTGAACGGGAGGACAGAAGGCGACAATCTCGGCTGTCTGCAGAGGATGTTGGTGAGTCACTGAACACGCTGGAACTGATATTGGCCTCATTAAAACTGGTGTCTGTATCTATAGCCCTTGTTTAATATCTTTAACCAGATCTTCATTCTTGTCACAGTAAAAAGGTTTTAATCTAGATTTAAGGGGCTATTTCTATTAAATCCCAGAATTAAATAAGGAGGAGGATAAGAGTGTTCTTTTTTTTAAATTCTTGTGCAGAATCTGATCTTAAATGAGTCCATTAATCAATTAGTCATTTGACAGATAATTAATTGATAACCAAGTTCATAATTATTCATCTTTTAAAGCTGCAGTAGGTAAGCTTTATAAAATTAACCTTTGTTGAAACTTTCACTATATCCTGACAGTAGTATATAAAACGGATAATCTGTGAAACAATCAGGTTCCTCTGGCTCCTCCTAGTGATCCTAATGGCATTTGCAAGAATCCACTGAGCCTGAATGAAAACAACCAATCAGAGGTGAGAAAGATGGGTGATTGTTGAGTCTCATTCCCAGGGTGTCAAATACACGCTTTGGGACCCTGGAAATGAGACTCCACAATCAGCAATCTTCAAGCTTTCAACCCTTGGATTATTTTATAGATTAAATAATAATATAATAATAATATAATTAATAATAAAAAAAATATTTATACAGCACTTTTCAAAACAGCAGTTCCCAAGTGCTTCACAGTTAAAAAATGGAGAAAGATAATCAGGGTTAGCAATAGAAAAGCAATGCAGAATGGTATAATGGTAAACAGGCATAACAATACACAACATAACAGCACAATTTTAAACAAAAGCAGATACTCTTCAACAATAAAAGCAGTATAATGAAAAACAAGATTAAGATCATTAAAACCAGTAAGAATTCCAAATGTCAGACAGGTGGGTTTTTAAAAGGACATTTAAGACCAGTTGGTCTGCAGGTCTGAGTAATCATAACTGCTAGTCTTATAAACAATACACTGGTTAATCAAAAATGGAATCATCAGTTGATTATTTGCAGCTCAGTCTGAATCACTGACTATGTTTACATGCACAAAACATTTGCCCTTTCTGAAAAAGACAATCCTACTAATCCGTTTACATGGCTAATGAAAATGAATAATTCATTAATATTCCTGTTAATGACGTACCACAGAGGAGTTTCCCTCCTTTTCAAACTGCAGTCAGGGTTAGGGCTAGGGCTCCCAGGGCGGTTGTGCACTTGTTGCAAAAACAGCCTCCCTCTTTCATTCGTTCACCACCCTCTTGAAAAGGTTGGGGTTGCAATATTTGCTCATATCCAAAAACCTGTTGATATCCAAGTTACATCCTTACAAAATATTTAACAGTAGGTGCATTTCCCTTTCCAACAAGAAATGTGGTAAAAACCCCAAATGAGACATATTCCAAATGTGTTGTATGAATGTCCAAAGAATGCTCCTAAAACCTCCTAATATCTGCATATCCCACTTAGAGCACCAGTGTGTAGGATTACTGGCATCTAGCGGTGTAGTTGCAGATTGCTTTACTCTCCATTTCCAGGTGTGAAGTACAAACTACGGTGGCCATGAAATGTGCCAAAAACACGAGTGAATGTTGAAGTGTTTAGTTTTGTCCGCTCTGGGCTACTGTAGATAAAAACAGCTTATTCTAATGTAACAAAAACGTAACAATTACTATATTCAGGTGAATAAACACTAATGAAAACATACGTATGAATATATCATATTTCATTTCTGCCAATAGATCCTCCTCTATGTTACACACTGGACCTTTAATGGGATAATGCTCCATTTGGAATAAGGAATAAACTGTTTACATGGATTAATATCAATATGTGGAATATTGTTATATTCTGTATAATAGTGGAAATGTGTGTGGATGTAAACGTAGGCATTACATATCATTGAATTGGCATTAAGTATGTATTCAGAGTGTGTGGTGTAGTGTAACCCTATGGTGACGTCACCCATTGGTTTGTGAAGCACTGTTTTGAAGCCTCGAGTTTGGTGTTATAGTCGTCGCCATGGTGTTTTTGCAGAGCCAGCGGAGGTGACGTACTGCGAGTTGAGCTGCTCTCATTGACTGCGCAGTCTCACCTGGTCACACAATCTCGTATTCCACATAAACAGTAAACTAAAATATGTATGTGAAAAGATTTCTTGTCCTCCTGTAGGATGACGTGATAGGAGCATCATCAGAGCTAAGTCTCTCCTGTATCAGCTTATCAGGTGAGTACAGCAAAGGCATGAGAAGAGAATGAATCAATGCAGAGTTCTCTCTTCACACGTGTTACTGTTGATTAAAGGCGCTCGGCAACAACGAGAAGACCTGTCACCATCAGTGTCATCTTCATCTTATCCATTTATCCCGAGGTCCGTGGAGCTGCGCAAGGTCAGCATGAAACACGGTCCCTCATCTACATTCACTCACAGCTCTGCCCACTTGAGCCCGGCTGGAATGATTCACATTATTCAGTCACCACCCACGCTAACACACACCATCAGCCGCGCTAAGTCTGGCGTCTCTGTGCCGACGCTGCGGCTCGCAAACTCTCAACTTTCTTTACCCTCCTCTGCTTCCTATTTGGAGAGCTCCTCAATCATTTGGGAGTTAACCAGTGAGGAGATGACTGGGGACAACTAGAAGGAAGTAGTTATGGAGGAGACAATTGAATTGAATTGAGACACAGAGAATGCAATGTTGAGACCAGATAGAACCACAGAGCGCTTTTACTTCTGTCAGTCCTCGAGCAAAGAGGAGGACAGCGTGTTAAGGAGCTGCATTAGCACAACCTCCACGCACTCCCACGCAAGCCAGGACTCCAGTCAGAGGGACGGGTTCAGAGAGGGTATGTGACAACAGGGGGGAGAGGACAACAGAGACAGCAGAGTGATTGTTAGGAATGATAGCAGCTTCCTGGCTGACGGCAGCAACTGCAGCAGTGATATTGAGCCACCACACACAATGCCAGAAGGTGGGGCAATACATAAAATATTGGATAAAGGGAAAATGGGAGTTACGAGGTACGATGCCACATCCAAAGATGGCGCCCCGCTCTGACGCAGCAGGTAAAGCTTCTTGAACAGAGCCGAAAGTGAAACTGAAATGTGGAACTAACAGCTGCACAGACGAGATGACAGACACAGGACAGATATCCGCATGAACCTATTTACAACAAACTGTACAGGTTCAGGTAAATGTTGAATTACAACTCCATAATTCACTTGGTGGTGATTTCTGCAAGAAGATTAATAGGCACGGTTATCTTTCACACTCTCTGTTCCATGATCCGGAAATACTGTAATCCAGATGTGTTTCCTCTGATTCCTCACGGGTGGCACTGGCTCAGACACTGGACCCTGTGATTAAAGTAATGGCTGCTTGGTCAGTACGGCCCTCTAATACATGAAAATAAGGCAAAACTGCCAATTGAGTTATGCTGCAAGTTTGCATGTTGCAGTTTTTATTATCTGGGCAGAAAACGAGAGGGAGATGCAACAAAGGTCCAGACTCGAACCGGGGATGTGGCAGCTCATGGTCAGCGTTTGTTTCATTTTGTAGTTACAGCATGATCAACACAAATACTTTCCCAAAACATATTTATTTTATCTGCATTATGAATGTTTTCATCTATGTCGCCTTCCATTGAGTTACACTATGTTGAACTGCCATCCTGATCCAGTTGATTTGAAATTTTGGCTTAGCCCTTTAAAACCAAATACAATCAGACATCATTCAAACGAAAAAACGATTCAAACATAAATGTAGCAAGGTTTAAGAAGCTACTGGCCGCTGCATGTACATGGACAGCTGTTGCCATAACTGCATTTTTATATACCAAATTATTAACTTTATATGGCCATAACTTGGCAAATGTGTGAGCATGCTATGGAGTTCTACCCCATGTGGTAAACTAACAACAAAAAGAGAGATGACTGCAGCTTTAATAAAACAAGCCAGTACCTGATCCAACAACAAACAAACAAGACCGAGAACTTGAGCACAATTCAGTGCCAGCTTTCTGTACTTGACAAGTTTCCATACTCGCTGCTACACAGACACATTCTGGTTGCTGTTATCTGGGAGTCATTACATTGTGATTCTGTCAGCCTTCTGCACTGTGGTGGATAAAAGGTGATTCAAGTAGTAGTTATAGTAGGTATGATTATTCAGCAGGCAGTAACTGCAGTGTTTTTTTCTTTGTGAACCTCAGAAGCTGCCTCAATCTCAGGAAGCGTCGATGATGTCATAGAGGATGAGCTGCTCTGAGACCAAAGACGTTCATAAATATCAAGGTATTGTTTCCAGGCTTTGTGAGTTTGAACATTGTCTAAAGAACTGGACTTATGAACCATTATGTCTGTCTCTTCTCTTCCAGCACTGACCATCCCCTCCTTTGCATCAGTTCAAATGAGACTCAACCGCATAAATCCTCATCGTGAAGCCTTACCTACTTGACAAGCGGCAGTTCTTCCAGCCATATTCACTTTATTGTTACTTCAATACAAAATTAATTCTTCTGTTTTGCCTTTATGCTGTTCTGTTGTACCTGATGCTGCTTGGCGTATTGTCGTTACTATATTTTGTGTTCAAGAAATGAAGAGAGGAACAAAACCAGAATGCCAGTATTATTTTTGAGAAGCACTGTGATCTGAGTCACTGGAACCAGAAGGCAGCTGGTTAGCTGACAGTTTTTTTCTCCACTTGTATGTGTAATTAATTGCCGGTATAGTGGGCCCCACAAGTTATTATATTTTGAAAATGAAACCATACAGTATTATTGAATGTGGTCCACAGATTGTGTTCAGTATAAAAATATGGCATCTACTGTATCATTACCTAGGGACAGAGGAACGTTTGTCTTCAGAGGTGTAATAGACTGCACTATATATAATAAATGATTTATTTTATGTGAAAGAATTGTTTGTGTCTTTTTTTGCCTTTAATGGACAGAGAAAGCTGAGGAGAGACAGGAAATGGGGGGAGAGAGAGAAAGGGTGACATGCAGCAAAGGGCCGCAGGTAGGAATTGAACCCGGGGCCGCTGCTGTAAGGACTCTTTAAGCGGTGAGCTACCAGGGTGCCCCAGTTGTTTGTCTTTAACTTTGAAATGCGGATCATACTATTAATGTATAATTCAAGATGAAAGAGGATAATGAGGAACAATGTGTTGAAAATTAAGATGATTTTCCACTAACGCTGCCTTTACTGGTTACTTAATAATAATAATAATAAGTGTATCTTTTGCATCAATCTGAATTGATATAATGCTTTTTACTACGCAGTATGAAACTGAAACATGTACTTTACTGTAAAACAATAGTTTTCCAGTGAATATTCCCTCTGTTTGTACTGGTGTTGGTCTGGCACAAGAGTGATATAGAGAGGTTTTACTCTAATCTGAAGAGGCCATTCATTCAGAGTCCACTGTTTTGTTTCTGTGTGGGTCGATGACCTCCATTCCGGATTGACCAATCAGATGAAAGTAGGTTACGATCGCACATGCGCAGAAGCAGCAGAGTAATTTGTTGATATCCTGCTTGGTAGTAATCATTTAGACTTTGCTATTTCAAAGGCAAATTTATCCCCAACGTAGGGGTTTGGTTTGCATTGGGCAGCACAGTTAACTAGAACGTTATCTATATGTCGGGCTGATGGAAGACACAAGAGATTTGGTGAGTGAAGTAGAGACATTTTAAGGCCGCGAGCCTGCGATTCCAGAGGATTTGCTCGGGCTAGCGCTCCTCCTTTGTTGTTATCTGTTTACGGTAGCTAGCTAGTGGCTCAGCCTGAAAGCTCTCCAAAAAAAAGAAACAGAGGGCAGAAATAAAATAACCTCGTACTTATTTTAACCGCATATGTGTCGGCGCAAGTTTGCTACGCAAATGAAAAGTGCAGTGTGCTTTTGTGAATAGAACTGGACAAACAGGTTTCCGCTAGCTAGCTGTGCTAACGCTAGTTAGCATTAGGAGCTATTTCTAATAAGGCCGCCCCTTATTTCAGTGCATGTATCAGCTAGCTCTTCTGTTTCCTACATCTTACATTTAGCGTGTGTCTTTATTGGCTGGTAAGTAGTTTGTTTCCTTCCAGAAGTCTCGCTGCAGGTTAAATAATGAATGTTAGCGCTGTCTGTTAGAATGTCACCTGTGATGCTCAGAAGAGGAAGTAGGCAGGCTGTGACAACAGTAAATGTTTTAACAATGTTCCGGATCCTGTGCAGCTAATGTGCATTTTTACGGCAATATTTATAATTAGGTTTGGCTTTTCTGAACATAGTTTTTAATATTAATTTCCAGTCTGCTTCCGCAGCCAGCTTCCCGGGTCAGATTCCAAAGCAGATGACATTTTAAAGAGATTGTGAAATATCATGTAGGAAAAAACGAGGATGTACAAAACCCCTTCAAATAACAACGTTTACTCTCCCGTTTTATCCGTTAATGCCTTATGTAGCTTTGTTCAGTTTGTCTTGATGCCTTTGATGTTTTATGTAAAGCACTTTAAATTGCCTTAGTGTTAAAATGGCCTATAGAAAGAAACTTGCCTTGCCTAGAATTGTACATTTTTTACATAGAATATTTTTTAACAGCATTCTAGAGCTGAAACAAATGACCAATCATCAAAAGGTGATGCACAACTGTTTTAATACTGAATATTTGAAAATTGTAAGTAAATAAATTGTAAGTAATATATAAGATAATATAAGATATACCTTTATTAATCCCCTGAGGAGAAATTCAAATTATACACAGCAACATTGGGGAATATAGTGTACATAAATCTTATCACAATAAGAATATTACAAAATATAATGGAAAATATAAAACTATAAATGAAAACTGTATACACTATATGCAATGTGTAAGTACAATGGTGTGCAAAACATTTTGGGCAGCTTGACAAAGAAACTAAACTGCAATTGAAGAGAAACTGTGATGCATGTTTTTACTGTTTTCTGGTATTTTAGTGATGGGGTGTAAGAAAATATATTGTATCATGATATTTTAAAGTGTGATATGGAATCATTTTTTGTTGTTTAAAACCATAACCACTAGAAAATAGTGTCATAAAAGTATTTTTTTCCACTTATTTAATGCACATGTTGGTACACTATGAAAGCTTTTCAAAAAACTAGATAAAAAAAAATCACATTGCCTTGCTTACAGTATCGCAATATATTGAATCATAGTGCCTGTATCGTGATATGTATCTTATCACCCGATTCTTGCCAATACACAGCCCTATTTATTTAGGAATATAATCATTAGTCCAGTCATTCAGATTCTGATGTCTTTCTGTCATATCCTTGATTGTGAAGGCCGAACGCACCCCACGTTCAGAGCGCAAGCGGAGAGACTCGTTCGGGATGTTTGATGGCTACGACAGCTGCAGCGAGGAGTCCACCAGCAGCTCCAGCTCAGAGGACAGCGAGGATGAGGTGGTGTCCTCCATCCCTGCCAGCCTGCCCATCATCAAGAACAATGGCCAAGTCTACACCTACCCCGATGGCAAGGCTGGAATGGGTCAGTATCTGGAAGTGTGTTGGGAATTTGTGCTTCCTGTGGTTCTCTGGAATATAATCCTGTCACTGAAAAGAATTGGCCAGCAGTATTGGCCAGCATATTACAAAGTCTTCATTTGCGGATTAAAGTTGATGTTGTAGTCGTCTGATGATTTCAACAGATTATGTGTCTGTTTTATGCTCTGTTTCACAGCCACTTGTGAGATGTGTGGAATGGTTGGAGTACGAGATGCTTTTTACTCCTAAACCAAGCGCTTCTGCAGCGTGTCCTGTTCTAGGAGTTATTCCTCAAATTCCAAAAAAGCTAGCATCTTGGCGAGACTCCAGGTAAGTTGTAAACATACGACCACAGATATTTAATGATTAAACCTATGTTATTGCACAGATATTGATGTCTGCTTTGATTTTACAAGGGCAAACCACCAACAAAAAAGGCAAAAGTCTTACAGAAACAGCCTCTTATGGCAAAGTTGGCAGCTTACGCCCAGTACCAAGCAAGTCAGCAGAACCAGGCCAAATCAAAAGCTGGTACGTTACCAAAAAGCAGTAATGGTGGTTAACAGTACTGCTCTGTTTCGATGTACGCCAGCTTTACACCGTGTCTTGTTTCTGTCAGTGGTTCCTGCGGAGAGCTTCGACTGGGGTCGGTATATCTGTAGCAATAACACGGCCGGAGCTCCAGTCAGCTGTTTTAAGCACGTAAGTGAACACTGTTGTTGAGTAGGTGGCGACCACTAGTTTGCTGCTTTCTTCACTTAAAAACTTCACTTCTGCTTCCTCTTTCTGTCAGGCTCCTATGGGGACATGCTGGGGAGACATAGAGGAAGGAGTGAGGATTGAAGTGCTCAACTCTGACACCAACCTTTCTACTAAGGTGTACTGGATAGCAGAAATCATTAAGCTAGCAGGTAAGACTACTTCTACAAATAGAGACAGGAGATGTCAGAAAATCTTATTTTTTTTTCTAGATGAGTATCACAATATTAATAAGAATATTTTTTTCCAATATGGGTATATATTACACATTCTGACCCAAAGTATGTTGCCACAATAAGACGGTCCATCAGTTGTATTAGCTAACCATGTTGTGAACATGTTATTTTATGGGTTTTATTGTTTAATTGTTCTGTCACTGTATTTTATGTTGCTGACAAGGCAATCTCCACTTCAGATCCACTTCTCTACTTGTTCTTATATAATATTACAAAGTCTTCATCTGCTGATTAAAGTTGATGTCTAAACTAGTCTAAGGCTGGGTTTAAAAAAATTATATTTTGAGTTCAAATCTATCTTCCTTTGAATGATGATCGATGTTTTAATATATGCTTTTTCTCGTGGCTGCGTAAAGCTTTAAACCCATTAACCCACATAGATGCACTAAACGTTAGACGAAGTAAGTTCTCAAACGTCTATAAATGTTGATGCATAACCACTGTTAGTTCTCTGAGAATCTCTTTCATATCCAAGCTAAATTGGTATTGTAACTGAAATATCCCCAACAGAATCTAATCAGGACCTTGTGACTCAGAATCAAATTGGTTTGGGGAATCAGTAGTGATACGTCCGTCTGAGCACTCGTAGGACTTGTTGTCTGTCTCCAGTTAATAGTTGAGCTTTACATGCCCATTGACATGACATCTACAGTTGGTCTTAATCTACTAATAAGGGTCACGTGATAGAGTTGAAAGACTAGACCAGGCATGTAGGTGGCTTGAATGCAGATTGTTTTGACGACTGCGGTTTCCCAGGTCAAGAATGAGCTGTCAGATCAACTGTGTCTAATGTCATGCAGGGTTCAAGGCTCTCCTGCGGTATGAGGGCTTCGACAACGACACCAGTAAGGACTTCTGGTCTAATCTCTGTATCCCTGAGGTGCACCCGGTGGGATGGTGCGCCTCAAGCGGCAAACCCCTCGTACCTCCAAAAAGTGAGCCTTGTGCCAAATCTCACCGGTCTTGTTCCTGAACACCTGTGCTCCGAATGCTTGGCTGTGACTGTTGCTGTTCTTTTTGTATCTCCCTCACAGGCATACAGCATAAGTACTCTAACTGGAAAGCCTTTCTTGTGAAGCGTCTCACTGGATCTAAAACACTGCCACCTGACTTTAATGCCAAGGTGAGACCCACAAATGCTGGTTTCGATGGCCAGTGCCGATATAAAGTTAAATCAGAGCAAACCCAAAGGCAGCACTGGAGGGCAGGCCCACAATGCACGAATAATGCTTCTTTCATGCCTTTTACATTTCCAGCACATTATTTTCTAGTGAACCCAGACAGGTGTTAAATAATAATTGCCGAACTATCTTATAGTGTGTACATTTTCCCAGAGCTTCTTTTGTAAACCAGCCTGCAGTGGAAGTGATCTTTGCCCAGGGGTCCTCATCAGTGTTCACATTCAGATGAGTCAGATAAGAGGTTCTCACAGTTGCCCTATGTGTTAGCAGTTATATTATTAAGGGAAGCTGAATGATTATTTTTAGCTAATTTATGATATCGCTGTACCACATTATCTTCCCCAGGCAACTGCGTAATGGCACTCTCTAAACTGCTTCCTATTTGCTAATATGTCAAGTCTGATTTATCTTTGAGTCTTTAATAAATCAGCTATATTTCTTATACCACTAGACAACCAGAAATGGTAAAAAAAAAATCCCCCTGTCCCCCCTTTTATGACTGTGCTATTCCAAGGTGAAGAATACACCTGCTTTTAATAATTGGTAAAGTTCAGTCCAGACATTCCTTGAGTGTGTTGTGAAATTGGATTGTGGTAGTCTCTTCGCTCCCAGGGTTAGGGTCCGGTCACACATGCATGCAAGCATGGCTGCTTCACATGAAGTTCAACATTAGCACTAATAGCAAATATGTGTATGTGGTTGACTTCTGAATCGGACCACAAACCAGCAAACAGATGTCTGTGTGCGACACATCCGATGGTCCACTGTCCCAGGGGGTTACTCTCATTAATCCAGTGTGTCTTGCAAATTTAGCCAGCCTGAAGGCAGTACTGTAAAGCCAAGCTAGTCCTTATCTAATTCATTCCATAAATAATCCTTTATAATTCGGTTGTATTGTTTGGCCCCAGGTATTGTTAGCGGTAGCATTACATGACAGGTAGTTAAACTGTGGGGTGTTAATGTTGCCCCAAAGGGTTATTCTGAGTGCCTTCCACTTAGGCCTGCACAATGATGGCCAAAATGATAATGAGCACTGTTTTGATTAATATTGAGATCACGATTATTTATCACAGTATAATTATTTTATAGACAAAATAGTTGCATTACATTGCAGGGTGTGCATATAGCGACATGACGGCCTCCCATTTCGGTCAACTGTTAGTATAAGAAGCACTTGCTTTGATTGCCGCACGATGACATTCTATTAAATTGTGGTGAGCCAAAATCGTGACCATGCTTTATCTTTGTAAGGAGCGTCACAGTTTATACTTATTATGCCTGCAATATCGGCACACAATTAACCCATAAATACTTCTTACCAGATGAGATCCACTTAAATTGGCCCGCCCTTAACCATAGCGGGATGGCATACCTTTGATATTTAAGTCAAATAACCTGTGCTTTGTGCCAATTGACTTTGTAGTCATAATTCTGAGAAAATGTTACAGTTGTATCAAGAGGAGGTTTTTCATTTTATTTGAATTAAACCTCCTCAAACTTGATAAGGTTTATTAAAAAGTATTTAAATTATTTGGCAAAAATACTCAGTGTTGACTCAAAAATGTCCTTCTTGTTGGACGTGAAACTCAAAAATCTCATAAGCTCACCCATATCGGTGAAATTGGAAATCAATGGATCCTTTCTGACCACAGGTACACGAGAACATGCAGTTTCCCTTTAAGAAGCTGATGCGGGTAGAGGTGGTCGATAAGAACTACCTGTGCCGGACACGGGTGGCGCTGGTGGAGCAGGTGATCGGGGGTCGCCTCAGGCTGGTCTATGAGGAGAGTCAGGACCAGTCAGACGACTTCTGGTGTCACATGTTCAGCCCCCTCATCCATAATATAGGCTGGTCCCGCAGCATCGGACACCGCTTCAAACGATCCGGTGAGATTGGAAAAACCCACCAACGCTTACGTTTAAATCGAGAGGCATTGTGAGAAAGTAAAGGAATCAAACAGGAGGCAATAGTGCATTTGTTGACGAGAAGAAAAATTTAGAATACCACCAGACTTAATAAAATGTTATGAAAAAAAGTGTGTTACTTGAAGGTACTCCAGCAAATTTAGTTTTGGGTTCTTGTGAGAGACAGATTTAACAAAAAGATGGTCCAAATCAAAACAGCAGAGGTCTAGAGATCCTGACTGTTAGTCGCTAGTATCATTCTATCTTTAAATACGCATGATCATTCATTTCATGCTACTTGATATACAGCCCCATTTTACATTTAGCTATATATGATTGTTGTCTCCAGACCAAAGCCAACATATCTTTATAGATCATGTTGGTTTTCCTTCAGAGACATAGAAGACACAGACGACTTATTTTACAGCTTGTTCTCTGAGTAGTACTGACGAATAAACTGATGTTGATGTGTGAAATGAGTGGACTGCGCCTTTAAATGTCACGTCTAATCATTATAGTGTACAAAAACTTACTTTTCTCCACTGAGTGCTACTGAAAAGCACTGTGTGTGTTCTTTAAAAAGGCCCAAAAAAACCCACCAAATATATCATTGGTTGTGATAATAATAGATGTGGTGGGCACAATTAATGAAATCCTGCTGTCTTTTAGTGAAAGTTATTCTTATGCTCCTAGTGAATCCAACCATTCATTTCTTTTCTCATCAAACAGTGTTGCCTGAAGCCCAGCTTCTACTGTCTGTAGTCTCTGATTTTAATGCTCATGGAGCTCTTTGTTCAGCGTGTATATTGCAGAAGCTTCTTTAGCTCGGGAACAGCAACTCATTTTGATCTGATTTGTTTTTCAGATATTGCAAAGAAAATTGAGGGTCAAGTTGACGCTCCTGCACAGTTCTTCCAGAAGGTAATGCAAAACAGAAAGATTCTATTTGTTCTCCTAAATGCTTCTGGAGGTAAGAGTCCTCCAGCTGTGGTTTGAATTGATGCATGTATGTCATTATGAGTGGTTGCAGACCTGGGCCTTGTTCTTCATACGTGGATAACCAAGTTATGCATTTGCCTGAATTTGATGGTTCTCTGAAGCTGGCGTAAAATCCACTTGGAAGTGTCCTTAAGCCAAAACCTGCAAATGTGCAGCTTGTTGACAGTTAGCTGGACCATGAGTCAGACATTTTAGGGTGTTCTCCATTCATGAACTCATTTCAATTTTAATAAATGGCTCACTTTCTTAGATTTACAATTACAACGATTGTTTTTTGTTTAGTTTTAGAAAAAAAACAACTTTTATTGAGTTTAAACAAAGAACAGAACATAAATGGGCTCATGAGGGGAGTACATTTTTCAGGTTAGCAGGTAGAGAAATAGCCCTTTTCCTTTTCAGACAGCCTGTAATATCTCATGAGGGAGAGTTAGAGAAAATTATTGAGAAATCACTCGGATATATTGGTGTATTGATCACAATTTAGTTATCATGATGAAGAGTTACTTATATTTAATCTAGTTTGAGATACTGTGTACAAAGAAATCAACTCAAATAAAAGACTGATTGTTAGAGCCAGAACATGTGGCATTAAATGGGAAACCATCATTTGACACTAAAACATTTTTAAATGATTAAATGCAGAATTGACTGTGCTAATAATTGTTCATTCAATTAAAGCTGCTTTTTAAGATTTTTGCAAGAATTTATTATCATAGCAGGCGTCTGATTATCACTGAAAAGCCTCTCATTGGTACCCAAAATCATGCATCAACATTGCTTTTAGTCTGACCACATTCACTGAGAATACATAAGTCTTAAAAGTGATCAGTCGAAGCATTGTGGAGCACAATGTAAAACAAAATGACACCATTAACAACACAGGAACACACAATATGAATCTACTGCCCCAGTGCATGCTGGGAAAGTTCCCAACACACCTACCTCATTTAACTACAGTCACATGATCAGCACTCAGCCAAGCCTATTAATGCTGCTCATGGGTTCAACTCTCTCCTCAGGTTGCCTTTATTTCAAAATAAAAGCACACTGTTATTCAAACATTCAAATAACCAAATTAGCAGGAGGAGAAAGAACAGGATGTTTTTAGCCTGGTAACAGCATGTTAGCTTGAACCACATTAAACCACATTTGAAGAACGGGATCCTGGTATACAGGAGATGCTGTGTGTTAAACCCCAAGGTCTTGCTCATGGTGGTACTGTTGGGTCTCTGTAAATGTTAAAAGGAGTTCGGTCTAGACCTGCTCTATTTGAAAAGTGTTCCTGAGATAACTTTCTGTTAGGAGTTGGCGCTATACAAATAAAACTGAATTGAATTGAACTTCTCATTCTTGTGTCAAATTAATACAAGCCTTGGTGAGCTTTTAAATCTAATATTAAGTAATGATTGATGCATCCGCACATTACAAATAATAATCCATCACAATCTCTCTGTATGTGTACATCAGGTGAAAGATGTAGACCAGAGCGGGGAATGGTTCAAAGATGGGATGAAGCTAGAAGCCATCGACCCCCTCAACCTCTCAGCTATATGTGTAGCCACTGTAAGAAAGGTCAGTGTGTTTCTGGACTCCACATGAATGTCATGTGCTGTGCGTTGTTTATGTTATAACACCTTTCACACGGCTGCTCCAGACTAACTTCATCCACTGTCTGCTGCTTACTGTAGGTCTTGGCAGACGGGTACCTCATGATCGGGATTGATGGTTCGGAGGCAGTGGACGGATCAGACTGGTTCTGCTACCACAGCACGTCCCCCTCCATCTTCCCCGCCGGCTTCTGTGAAATCAACAACATTGAACTCACACCCCCTAGAGGTACTGTTCACTCATATCTTTGTTTCTTTGAGCTCATTCAGAAAATGTAAATGGGAACTTGCTCCCATTGAGAGGACCACAGAGCTATGGAAGTCTTAAAATGTCTAAACAGAAACAAATTAAACAAAGAAATACAGTATTTCAGTACATTGCACATTGTTATATAAATGTCCTTTTTCTGTATGCATTTATGGTAATTGAATTAAAAAACACAAAAAGGACCATTATTTAGTTTTTTGTCTGAATTACTGAAACTGAATTAAAACCATTTTCCAGGACTGATTAACTAAAGGTCACAGTGTTTATATAGCAAGTACTTTCAAGAGCAGAACGTCACAGTGCTTCACAAAAAAACCCCATTTAAAAACGGCCACAATGGGTCTGAGTTTTGCAATGTTTCACAATCAAACCGTTCACATTTGGGTCCAGAGTCAGAACCTGGTCCACAGTGACACCTACATTTTCTAGGGAGTATTACACAGGAGAGAATGAAACCTTCCATTGCCTTAGGGACAAGACTGGGTGGGGTTTTGTCAGCATTGAGCTGTAGGAAATGATCTGATGTCCACTTTTACAGCTTTAAGCCAGTTGTTTAAAACTGACAGTTTGGCTTCATTTTGAGGCTTATAATATATAACGTCTGCTGCTAAGGGTCCCTCACATCAAAACAAGGAGAAAAGAGGTAGTTTGATAATGTTGTGAAGTAGTGTTGGATCATGGGAGTTACCACCAGTGCTGATGATAATCTATGGGACTCAGGCAGAAATTGTTCACAGACGAGATAATATCAAAGTTTTATTCACATTATGGTTAGTCACATTTGTGGACTTCCTTTCCTCGCTCTCTGCTGTGTCACCCAGAGGTTATATCAGCTAGGGGCAAGTTAAAAACACACTGTTACCTGAATAAAATGACAGATTTCTCTGAGTTTGAACATTTGGGATAATGTAAGAACTCAACTACATATACAACATAGAGTGTATAGATATTTTAATGATTAAATGTTATAGGTATATCTTTAGGTTATGGTCAACAGCAAACAGGATC